AAGGGAAGACATATTGCTACATTGCATGCACGAGAGGGGGAGAACCTCAGCATCGACCATCAGAGCCCGTCGAGCGCAACCGTCGGAGGAGCGGCAGCAAGAAGATTAGCTGTCCATTTGCTGCTCAAATCTTGCTGCGTCAGGGAGGTGTGTGGGAGATCCACATGGTGAACGCATCCCATAATCATGAAGCCGTAAGCCCTGAAGGATACCCATGCCACCGATCAATGACAGAGGCGCAGAAGCGGGCGTGCTACCAGCAGTCATGCATGGGTGCGTCATCCAAGCAGATCATGAAGACGATGATGGGCGATAATGCGGGGCTTATTGTGACAGAAGACGATGTGCAGAACGCCGTCAGTCGCATCAAGTTCCTGGACTACCGGCACAAATTGACGATGCAGGCGCTGCTTGACTGGATGATTAAGGAGAACGTTTGGCACAGAATCAAGCGGAACGAGCAAGACGTTCTTCAGGGGCTGTTCATGACTTCGGACGACGCAATCAGTCTTGCAAAGAGGTGGCCATACGTTCTCTTCATGGACAGCACATACAGCACGAACGTGTATAAGCTGCCTCTCTTCCAGATCATTGGCATTGCGTGCAACGGCAAGACTTTCACACTTGCGCACGCGTTCCTTGCTAAAGAAGACGGCCTGCATTTTGCGTGGGCTTTAGAGACGTTGAAGACGATCCTTGCCGGTGCAGAGCTGGTGACGATCTTCACCGATTGTGATCAAGCGCTCATCAATGCGCTCGGCAACGTCTTTCGTCGCGCATCGCACCTGCTCTGTCGTTGGCATATCTTCCAGAACTTCATGGCGCACGTTCGCGCCAAAGCTGGCAACGACTGGGTGGAGATTGAGAGCGACTTTAGGACGCTGACTTATGCAGAGACGGAGGAGATCTTTGATGAGCGCTGGGAAGAGTTCTACGACAAATGGCACATGATTCCCGGCGTCACTGCATACGTTATAAACCTGCTCGAAGTCAGAGAGAAGTTTGTCGAATGCTACACAAGGAAGCACTTCACGCTCGGTCATTCGACAACGGCGCGAGTCGAGAGCGAGCATGCCGTTCTGAAGTGACATTACATCAAACCGACGCACAAGGACATCGAGGCCGTTGCACGGGCATGCAAGAATCGTCTGGAAGATCAAGCGACGCGGATACGCAGCAAGATCAACCATTATAAGCTTCAACGGCCTCGAGGCGTTGGTGACTCACAGCTGCTTCAGCTCCTATCAGATAAGATTGCGCCTCATGTGATCCGAGAACTGATTGATGTAGAGAAGGTTGTCAAC